GCAGGCTTGCATTCTGAAGCTTGTGTGCGGGCGGCCTGCCACTTGCTGACTGGCTGAGTGGCAGCTGCTTGCGCTGTGTGGACTAGCTGGTGAGCACGTTGGCAGTTGGCACAGGCTCGGGGCGGGGGGTGGAAACCCAAAGGGGTGGAATGTAGATGGGTGCTCAAGGCCCAATGGCTGACAGTTTTGCACAAATGTTTCTCGTGCTGGGCTTAAGTCGCCCTTACAAACCTACTCAGCGATAAGGACCGGCTGGTGAAAGCCGCTCCGTTTGGCAGCAGATTTGACATGTGTTACAGTTAAATCATTTCTAGTGCCCCAGAATAACAGAGAATAAGAGAATCCCCGCTTCGGGTGTGGACTTCTGTAGAAGGGGTGGAACTTCTCCTGCCAGAGGCCCTGGTGAAGGCAGCCAGTGCTGGCCCCCAGTGGATTCTATACTGACTGGTGTGACCCTTGTCCCCGTGATGCTGGTGAGACACTTCCAAATCTATTCTGAACTTTGCCTCCTGCTGGTGCGGCGAGCCACCCAGGGAGCTGTTTAGAAGCATGCTCCTTCCCTTCTTTGTTTTCAGCAAATACAGAGCCTGTGAAAGGAACATTTTAAGAATGGATTTGAGGGCCCAGTTAAGGACCGGAGGAGTTAATTTCATCTTACTGATAGGAGAGGAAACTGGTTGGGTCAGATGGTTATTTAAAAAGATATCTCTGTCTTACTAATAATAGCAAGCAACTGTGTAGAGGATTTGGGGTGGGGAGGGAGACACAAACCCAAATAATGAACCTTTGTGGTGTAAAGGTGCAGGAGAGCTGTCAAATCTTTGTAGTTTGTGCAGGAAGCCCAGGTGCGCCACACTGCACTTGCTCTGGCAGGAGGGGTGAGGGCTGCTCTGGGGAAAGGGCCTTGTGGGCGTGAGGGTTTTATGTTTTCACTTGGCCTCACCCCTTTCACTCCCTACAGAGAAGAGACTGCCTTCAGATGCTCCACGTTATCTATCAGAAAGAACCAAGTTTCTAATGACTTGCTATGTATAGGCCTGGAGGGAATGCGAACTATGCATGGAAGAGCCAAGGAATGCCCTGATCATTATTCTCATCCTCTAACTCAGATAGAGCATGGCCACAGCACTTTGGGGAGGCAGGAAGCTTTTCTCAGCCTACGAAGAGGGCTAGGGCAACTCATGCTTCCATCTCCAGTTATTACGGGTTTTCTTCTTTTATTTCCCCTTTGGTTGTTGCATGCCAACGTGGGAACCACTTTGTGCCAACTAGGCACAAAGACTGCAAGTTTTCTTAGGAAAAAAACCATTTTTTTAAAAAAAGACAACAAAGGATTTAAACACCGGCTTGAATAACACCGAGTGCGGAAATAATGTCTAACATGAAATCGTGTACGACTCGGGAGGCTGATGGGACCAGAAGGTTAATTCTGAAAAGACGTGAGCAGCACAACTCTTTGTTTTCCAAAGTGCGTGTGGTCATATGAGGAGCCAGGATTTTGTTGTGCTTCTGAAGTCTTTGGAGAACATTTCCCCCGTAAACTGTCATCCTTATCTGCGCCTTACAGATGGGTTCTCGCCCTTTGGACTGTCCTTCCTTGATTGCTCAGGAATTCTTGAGAAGGCAGACGTGATTACGCTAGTGCTTTTGTCTGTCGTGCTCATCACGCTATATCTGGTGCCTTGAGGTGTGTCTGATGCATAGTAGGTACTCAGCAAATATTTGCAGGAAGAACAAATGGAAGAGGGCAAGAAAGAGACAAAGGGGCTGTTGATTGCTTTCTCTGTGGCTGCAGTGGGGCAGATCATTTCAAGTGCTTTGGTCACAGTCACCGAAGTCCTCCACATTGCCAGATCCAGTGTTCACTTCTTTCCATCTTTCTCAGCTTCTCCTCTTTCCACATTGTCCTTGACGTCCCTCTTGCCTTGTATTCCTCTGACCTCACTCTCTGTTTTTGTTTCTCTGTGTTGCTTGTAAATGTTGATGTGCCCCAGCCCTTGGTTTTAGAAGTACTCCTTCATGGCTACGTTTTCTTCCTGGGTGACCTCATCTACTAATAGCTTTAGCTACCAGTTGTATTCATTGCTTCTCCAGGCTTTCTTGCCAGCCCTGAGCTCCCGAGTTCCAGACTTAAACATCCAGTTGCGTATCTGACAGCTCCTTCTTCATGCATAATAAGCCTTGCAACTTCAGAGTGGCCAGATAGGACTCCTGATTCTTGCCCAGCAATCTGTTTCTCTCCCTGCGTTCCCAGAGCTGTGCTGGTGTCCAAGTTTCTCTTATCCTTGACTATTCATTTTCCACCTAACAGCCAAAGTGATGCTATAATGAGGTAAAATGCCCTCATCTTGGGACCAGCAGTTAGTATAATGGCTATGTTGCCGAACTCCCATGTAGTCGACTGTGGTTCGAGTCCTGGACCCGGTGGCTTAAACTCGCGCCGGGCACGGGTGTGTGCATGCCCAAGATCCCGAGAGGAGAATGGAGGAGAAGGGATTGCGGCATGGCCATCCCTCCTGGGGGGTTGTTTCTCGTTTTCTGTCTCTCTGTCTCTCTCTGTCTTTCTGGTGAGTGCACGTGCCCTATAGCGAAAACCTCTCCAAAAACAAAAACAAAAACACAAAACGCTCTCATCTTAAAACTCTTCAGTGGTTCCATAGCATCTAAGATTCTGACTCCTTCCCACAACCGGCATGGCCCCATCTCCCTACAGTACCACCTCTTATAGTTGACCTTGGGTCTCTCTGGCCACTCACACTGATTTTGATTCTGTTCCTGGTACACACTGAACTTGCTCCTACCTCAGGGCCTTTGCACTGGCTGTTCTCTTTGCTCGGAATACTGTACCTCCAGATCTTCATGTGGCTCGTTCCTTCTCATCATTCTGTCTCTGCTTTCACCTCCCCAGAAACCTCATCTAAACAGTTCAATGACAAGGAGCCCCCCCATCCCCCCACCTCATTTTACTTTCTGCAGAGAACTCAATGCTGAGATTACCTGGTGGATCTGTTCATTATTGGTTTCACAGGCACTTTCTCTTCTTCACAGATATACTCCTTTCCCTCGGAACAGTGCCAAGAGCATAGCACGCACTACATTTGCTGAATAGTGAATATTCTGTATCATTTCATTGTTATGGGAACCCGAGGCTCAGAAAGATTGGTGTACGACTTCCCAAGTCTCCAAGGCATTTTCTTTCCCACTGTAATCCTGTTGGCTGGCCCACTTCCTATTTGCATTTGGTTATATATTTTTAGTTTGAGTATAGAGAAGGGAAAAGGTATATTTCAGGTTGAGCCATTGCATACAAAGCCCGAATGCCTGCAAGTCCAAAGGTAATGAGTTTGATAATGTCATTGTCCTCTTGTGGTTGGTCAGTGTAAAAACAAAAAGAAGGAAAAAAGGAAAGAAGGAAACGGACACTTATTGCATGCATAGTGTGTACTAGATCCTGTGTGAGCACTTTTAGGTATGTTCCCTAATTTAATCTCGAACCAATCAGTGCAAGGTTGATTGCATTGAACTGATGCAAGATTGTATCATTACCCCCAATTTTACACATGGAAGGACTGAAGGTCATAAAAGCTAGATACTTTGCTCCGGGTAGCACAACTAGTAAGTGGTAGGACTAGATTTTTTATTTTTTTTAAATGCAGGGCTTATCTGACCCCAAATTTCTGACTTTTTATGCCCAGATTGTTGCTTTGTGAGATGGATATACTCCCAAAATAGTAAGGAGGAAAATACGAATTCAGTGCACATCCATAAAGATTAGAGCAAATATCTGAAGCACGAGAATAGGTTATACAGACAATATGGAAAACAGACCTACCATATTCAATGCCCGAGTATATAATTGGATGAATAGAATGCAGAGTGAACATTTGGTTCCCTGGCAGGCCTCATGTACGGTATGACATAGAGCAGCTGTCTCCAGAGAAAGTTCTTTATTTCTAGACTGGTACTACACAGGCAGCATTTGAGCAATTCAGGATTTCTTTCTCTTTCACTATAAATAGAGTCCATGGAATTCTGTATATTAAAGTTAATGCAATGAAAAGGAGCCCCAGAGTATGGAAATAAACCTTAACTCATTCTATAAACTAGACACATGTTTGGCATCGGGAGGCCGTAAAAATGCTGTCATTCCTTGGATGGAGTCTGAGGTCTTATTTAGCATATGAAATTGCAGAGTAGATCCTATTATGTAAGGAGACAGGAGGACAGCATAATGTGGTTACAAAATGAAGAACTTTGTGCCCTTCAGGGAAGAGTTAACCGGGCATGGAAACATAGAAGAGCCGTGCGATAAGAACGTGGAGAACGAATGAATGGGTGGCATGTATATGTGCCTATTGCCGAAGCCGGGCTACTGGATAATCCTCAGATGTCAGATTTCCGTGAGGCCAACATGTGACTCAAAGCTTGCCACTCAACAGAGAATACTGGGCTGTGCTGGTATTAAGAGGCTGGCTGGAAGCTAGGCTCCCACTGTGCACTAGCCTAACTCCCTGTCGCTCTCTGCGTGTGGGTGGGTGTGCATGTGTGTGTGCGAGGGTATACATTTTATGCAGTGGGTGTTTCAAGAGCTAAGCACTGAAGCTGGTTTTCCACAAACGATCATCACGAGCCCTCCAGACACACCAAACTTCCTCTCTTGGTATTTTTTTTTTTTTTTTTTCATTTGCTTGTTTGCTTTTTGCAAACCCCAGAGGGGGAGAACCCCCAACATCCAGCCTACAAGATTGGGATTCTTTTTTCTTACCTGTCCATGTGGGTGCCCTCTCGAGGTTAGAACTGAAGCTATGTGGGACCGGCACATACTCCAGCACCAGAGGAGAGGAACTGCGTGAGGAGTGGCAGACACCAAAGGAAGAGTACCTCTGCCCTGCTAACATGAACAGCAGCTTGCAGGTTAACCTGCCCAAAAGCTGGGCTGCTTCCAGTGCCTCGCTCCAGGAGAAGTCTGAGCATTCTTTTTTTCTTTTTTATTACTATAGGATGGAGGATGAAGCTGTCCTGGACAGAGGGGCTTCCTTCCTTAAGCATGTGTGTGATGAAGAAGAAGTAGAAGGTGAGCTCTCTGGGTCTGGGCGAGAATGTACTCACATACATATGTCTCTGTAGATAAGAGCATGCATATCTTTTATATAGCTTACATTTGACATTTTTAAAGTTAAAAGCCAGAGCGTTTCTAGGGAGTTTCATTCATCTCCACATTTTGCTTCCACACAGAAAGTCATTTTCAGAACTTCACTGGACCATCAGAATGTGAATCAGTGTGGTCTTGCCTGCTTTTTCTTTTCTTTTTTTTTTAAAGTCTCACGTTAAAGCAGGGACTTATGTCAGCTATGCTTCTCTATGAAAAATAGACATTGTACCAGATAATGTAACCCACCTTCCAATGAATAATTCAAGGAAGCTGCTAGATTTATATAGGTTCATTTGGCAGCACTTTATAATATTCTTTCTTGTAGTTTGCAGGGTAGAGAGACAGATGTTTCAGAAGGTGAAGGGTACATTGTTGTAGGAAAAATTAAGGGGGTATTAAAAGGCTATTAAGAGTACATGAGTCTCAATTAGAAAATGATGGACAAGCAATTTTTTGCTTAAATAAAAAAATCTGCAGGACCCCATTTGCTAGTACTCCTCAGTGCCTGTTAAAAACCAAAAGAGAGTTTTATTTTCACTAGTGCTGTGGTACTTTCAATGTGTATTCACCTTTCTTGTCTCTTGACCTATCAGTAATGTGGGGATTATGATATTTATCTGATAGTGAGAAGACAGGGTTTAATTAATGTTTATTAAGGCAATTATATGAAGCAATCACAGCCATGATTATCCATATTTATGAGAGAAAAAAAAATCAGGATTCTAGGCAATACAGTTAGATGAAACTTGTATGATCAGTTTCACCCTTTAAAGTCACTCAAGAGATAGTTCATATGTGTTTTAGAGACCCTGGTCTGACTGGTGCCATTTGTTAAGCAGTGAGTGCTTACTTAATGCTGAAGGGTGTTGGGGTTGGGAAAAAGAGGGGTACAGGTATTGTGTGTTCTGGAGTGATTCTTCTAGAGTACCAAACACTAGGTCCCAGGCTGGTGATGTTCCTGGGCCACTTGGAGTGGTTTGGATGGTGCGGCTATTGCGTTGTTTCTCACGCCTCATTCGTAAGTCCTTTCTGTTTCAGTAGTGTGAGAGCACATGTGCCTCCCCACCCCCGCTTCTCACGTTTATGCTCTCTAGACTAACATAAATTTGATGCCTAAGTTTCTCTGGAGAACGGAAACTACAGTATTTTCTTTCATATTGTTTTATGGGTTCCTTGCATTTTTACACTATGACTGTGGGAAAATGCCAAGTTGGTGAAAGCAAAACAGTGTAACTTGGGTCTTGGAAGTCTTGTAATCCATGATGTGATATCTTCATTGTAGTGATTTTGTCACTGTCCGAGTGTCAAAAAGAAAAAGTATTACAGTTATCGCTTATGGATGCAAGAAATAATGGTTCAGTGACTATCCTATAGTCTCAGGACAATTAAAGTAGAAAAAAATACCTCGGGAAGGAGATGTATTCTCTGTGTATGTGTGTGGGGTGTGTGTATTTTTCTTTGGTAATTGTGTTCTAGATCTGCTCATAAGAGATGTAACTTATCTTCTGATTTTGTAAGGTCTATGGGGTACACAGCACTCCACTTCAGTAGGATATTTTACACCAGGTCGTAAGGCGTTGACTGAGAAGTGTTATTTCCTGAAGAATTTCCCTTGATTTTTAAACACAAAATTAACACAACATTATAAATGAATAGCATGTGAATCTGTAGCCAGGTTTCTTCCAGGAGAAACAACAAACAAAGGTGGTAGAAATGCCTGTAAACTACAAGAAATAGGTTGGCTTTGTGATTATCAAACTTGCCCCATGGGTTTTGTGTATTTTACCATTCTTACAGGATCTTATTGATAGGGTCTTACAAGATTTCTATTTGAATGATTTTTCTTTCTTATTGATTGGCAGAAGAGTGGATGCCATTTCTTACAAGGTGTGCTTAGGCAGCTGCCTGTTGCTACTCCTGGGGTCCTAGGAGATGGTTGCTTATGGTGCCATTATTTGGCGGAGAACTTCTAACAGCGAAGGCTCTTCTACAATAGAAGTCTTGAATCTACAGTTAGGACCTGTTCATTTCCAATTCAGAGTACTCTCAGTTGACTTTTTTTTTTTTTTTTTCTTTTTTAATTTCACTTGGTTTCATCCGGTGGTGATGAGAAGACTTCAGTTTTATAGTAGCTCAAAGTGAGAGTATAAAGAAGTTGAAATGGACATGTTAAATCCATGGTTCCTGTGGTCAAGAGTGAAGAAACAGATAAGGCCTTTGATAAAGATTTACATTTTTGAGTGGGAACATTTTTTTCTCGAGGATACGAGTTTATATGTATTTTAATTGCTCAGAGAAGGGTGTGTTTGAAGAAAAGCAAAACTGTTTTTTTTTTTTTTTTTCTATCCAGGAGTAGCTGAGTTTTTGGTACAATTATGTTTCCTTTTATCCAAGTGGTTATTACTCTTCCTTCTAGGACAAACATGATTGAGGTATATTGCAGCATGCTTGGCAAAAGTAAACAAAATTACATTAATTTTTTACAGTGATTTGCACAAATTGGCTATATTCCCGATAAGTGATTGTTAAGGTGGTTAATATTCAGTAGCTGTAGTTACTTTGAGGAGTTCGTATTTAAAAAATTCTCTTGAGTCTTCCCTAGTTGGGGGCAATTGGATTCAGCTTCATCTGGGGCTGGAAGAGCCAGATGCCCTCCCATCCCGCTTTCTAAGCCATGGCTCTGAGGAGGGGAGAGACTTGAAACCACATCTTCTGTTCACCTTGTTCAACTTGTCTCTCTGTGGGTGGCTTGACACTTCATCCGCATTTTAAAAACTCAATAGAAAAAGATCAGCCGCAAAACTCACTAAGAACAGCATGAGTCAGAAGAGGAGTCATCTTGGTTTAAGTCATTAATTTACCTATGTGGCATATATTTAAAGACCTAAGTCTCATTTTCACAACACTTTCCTGATGCATTAATGGTTTAAAGCGCTTTCAAAGGGACACCAAGTGCCAATTTTAATCTTCAAAATAAATAGAAGCTGTACGTTTTTATCGGTGACCTTATACCGTGTACGGTTGTGTGACGTTAACATTTTTGGTGGAGAGGAATTACTGAGGATAAACTTGTCAGCCTTTCAGATATTCTTGTTTGTTTCAGATATTCTTATTTGTTTCTATACTAAAGACTCCAATGCCCTCCCAGGCACTTTGACAGAATCGATTTGTAAATGACAAAGTGACATGACCAGAATGACCCAGAAATGTTGAAGAACAACCACTTGGTTTTCATTTTGAACAGTGAAACAGCCTTTTTTTCTTTTCTTTTCTTTTTTTTTTTTTTTTAGGTGAGCCAAGGTTGAGACAGGAAGAATCCCAGGTAGCTGGTTCCAAATAGAAGGGAACTCTATGGATGTTTTATTCTTTAAAAAGTCAGCCAGGATTTTGGATCTGAATGATATAAACAGATTACTTAATATTCTCGTATTTTGCAATAGGGGAAAAGAGCAAACTCCACCTTATCCTTTGAGATAAGCCTTTGGCCTTGCAAGACGAGGTGACTCCCTAGCAGGCCCTGGCAACTTTGACGACACAAGAAGGGCCTTGAAAGAAAGAAAAGAGTTTACTTATTTACAGAATCAGAGAGACAGAGAGACAGAGATACCGATTTCCTGGTCCGGGGTTTGCCACACCACCGGGCTTCTCTAGCTTTCTGACTAGCCAGGATTACCTGGTGTGTTTAGGATGATTCAGGATCCGAATCCCAGACCTTCCCACATGGCCTCAGTATCACATAGCCATGCCCTCTTGCCTTGTTACTGTGCCTAGACCAGGAAGGGCCTCTTAACACCAGGGTCCAACCCACAACTCAGGAAACATAAAATATAGCAAATCAATATTGGCTGAAATGTGTCAATATTTGAGGTTTGACTGCTGCTGTTTTAAAGCTGTTAGGGTATATTGTGGTGTGGTGGTTTTTTTTTTTTTTTTTGGCAGGGTCATCTATTCATAATGAACTCCAATGGAAGTCATTCCTACCTGTCCAAATGAAAAATAAATCTACAAATTCCTATGTCTATGGATAGACATTATGAGACAGAGCATTGCTAAAAATGCATGGAATTTATAGGAGGAAAAATGTAAAAAAAGTAGCACAGGGTCTGAGACAGAGTAGTCACTGAATATTTGTTAAAAGAAAGATCCAATAAATGAATATATAAGATAAACTAAATAAAGCATAAGTAGAATTACTTACATAATCTTCTTAGCATCTTTGTCTAAACTTTAGTTAGAAATTTGGTTCTCTTAGTACTCATGATCAAATGAGATGCCATGGTCTCTAACTGTCTTATCTTTGGTAATACTCCTATTTGATTTTGTAAAGATGAGAAAAAGAAGTTCCCTAAAACACCTCTCTGTTCCTATCCTCTTTCATTCTTTTACTCTATCTTTGGAAATAAAAATGCAATGGTGGCTTTTGTCTTTCTGGAGGTCAGGACCTTAACATTTTATAGACAATGAAGTCATAATTACTTAAACCTATTTTTCGCTGGAGAATATTATGATGAGCTATTCATGTGTGTTGGAGGAGGTCGTATCCTAAAGAAAAAGTAAGGTTTGGCAGACATTTGTTAATAATTACAATGGTAAGAAACATAATTGCCGAGACAGAGTGAATGAAAACCTATCAGATGGGAAGGGAGGGGCCAAGTCAGGGCTGGGTTATTCTGAGCGCTGGAGGGAAGTGTCCGGTTGCATTTTGCTGACCTCTTCTCTGCTGTTCACTCTGATTGCTCAGAAACAGTGTGTACAGAGGAAACACTTGGGCAAATACTGCTAAAGGAAAAGCCTTCTTAAAAGAAACAATGTATTCACACACTGGAGAACTTTAAAGAAATGCAGTTAGGTGTTTAAAGGTTGTTACTTAAAACCAAGTTAGGTTTCCAAGAGTGGATTGAGTCCTCACAGACCTTTCCCAA